CGCAAAAGTCAACATGGTTTCTGTAAAGGGAAATCATGTTTTACTAATCTATTATAGTTCTTTGACGGTGTCAACAAACATGTGGAAAAGGGGGATCCAGTGGACATAGTGTACTTAGATTTCCAGAAAGCCTTTGACAAGGTCCCTCACCAAAGGCTATTACATAAATTAAGTTATGGGATAAGAGGGAAGATCTTTTCATGGATTGAGAACTAGTTAAAAGACAGGGAACAAAGGGTAGTAATAAATGGTAAATTTTCAGAATGGAGAGGAGTAACTAGTGGTGTTCCCCAAGGGCCAGTCCTAGGACCAATCCTATTCAACTTATTCCAACACCTGGAGAAAGGGGTAAAAAGTGAGGTGGCAAAGTTTGCAGATGATACTAAACTGCTTAAGATCGTTAAGACCAAAGCAGACTGTGAAGAACTTCAAAAAGATCTCACAAAACTAAGTGAATGGGCAACAAAATGGCAAATGAAATTTAATGTGGATAAATGTAAAGTAATGCACATTGGAAAAAATAACCCCAACTATACGTACAATATGATGGGGGCAAATTTAGCTACAACGAATCAGGAAAAGGATCTTGGAGTCATTGTGGATAGTTCTCTGAAGACATCCACGCAGTGTGCAGTGGAATTCAAAAAAGCAAACAGGATGTTAGGAATTATTAAAAAAGGGATAGACAATAATACAGAGAATATCTTATTGCCCTTATATAAATCAATGGAAACAACTAATTTAGACCCCATCATTTTATATGTATATTTGGGATTATGTTTTCCAATGGGCTGCACTATGTGCTATCCTGACATTTAGTACTGCTGAGATCCTGCTTTCAATAATATCCCTGCCCTTCCTGTTCCCTTTCTCCACTGACCCCCACCAGCCCATGCTTACTGTTCTCAGCTTCCCCAGGACTCTCTTTGTCTTTGGACCTGTCTGTCAGCAAGAAGCAGAGCCAGGGAGACTTGCCCTCTCTCTGGAGACTTCGATTTCTGGGACATGGATTTACTTTCTCTGTGTTTTAGGAGACTCTTTGAAATTGAGTGTCTGTGACATTAACCACAGTACAGTCTGGACTGTTGAACAGCTGTGTCCCCTCAGTTCCCCAAGCTGAGGTGCCTTTTACACTGCTTTACTGCGAGAGCAGCCACTCCTGGGCAGTTAACACACAGTCTCCAGCATATAACTCGCTCCCAGCTACACAGTATTGAGTGCTACTAATCAGCGACTCACGAATTACAGTACACCACAGGAGAACCCCAGAAAATTCTGTGGTCCCAGACTTTGCCCAGAAATGTGCATCTTGCATTGTCCAGCATACTACTGAACAATGCAAGCTCATATGAAGTCTGTTATTTCATCAGTGGAAAATGACATGCACCAGCCCTGTTATCCCAAATGGAGTTTCCAACCCACTTTAATCCAAACACACTGGTTAGATAAAACAACAATAAAACAAAATTATTAACTACTGGAAAAAAAAGATTTTAAGTGACTACAGGTAATGAGGCATAAAAGTCAGAATTGTTTACAAAAGAAATGCAAGATAAAACACAAACTAATGTTTAACTTAACAAGCTAAAATGCATTTAAAACAAATGTTTCTCTCACCATGTGCTGAGACAGGTTGGCTTTCCTTTCAGCCAGGACTCCCCCTAACCCGCCCCTGCCGCCCAAGTTCAGTTCTTCAGAAGTTGTCGTGAGCAGAGGGAAAAGGGAGAGAGATAGAGTCTCATGCATTTTCCTCACCTCTTTTTGTAACTGAGTCCTTTGTACTAGAAACAACTTCAGTTCTCAGCTGAGTCACGGTGACAGGCTGTCATTCATATGAGCTTCAAGTGGTCCCTATGATGCACTGTAAATGTCTTCTTCACACCTTCCCCCTGCTGGAGAATGGCTATTTGACCAGCTGTTTCCCTTGCTGTCTCTGAGGAACTTAGGGTTAGGTTGCAACTTTTTCAGTAATATTATACCGTAAAATCTCATAACTTTACATACAGTGTTGCTACATATTTTAACAGGAGGATATTCAGTAGATTGCCTTTTCAAATGATACCTCACAAGCCATACAGTGATAAATGAAGGGGAGGGGAGGGATCTCCCTTTTATAAACACCCATCCAGCCAGTTTGCTGTAAAATCCCTGTTGGTGTCTGTTCTCTGCTTGCTTTACCTGTAAAGGGTTAACAAGCCCACAGGTAAAAGAAAAGGAGTGGACACCTGACCAAAAGAGCCAACGGAAAGGCTAGAACTTTTTAAAATGGGAAATAAACTTTCTCTTTGTCTGTTCTCCGGAGAAGGAGACACGGAGTAGCAATGCTGTGTAAGACTTGAACCAGGTATGAAAATTCATCTTCCATACCTAGAAGAAATTATTTGGATAGGGAATGTTTAGACAGATACAATCAGGTCTATTTTTTATTTTGGCTTTTGGATCTCCTCTGTGCTATCCCAGATGCTTTAGTTTGCTTGTAACCTTTAAGCTGAACCCCAAAGAAAGCTATTTTGGGTTGCTTACAAAAATTAATTGTTTCTTTTAAGATCTAGCAAAAAGTCTAAGTTCCAGATGTATTCTTTTCCTTTTAGTTTTTAATAAAATTTACCTTTTAAGATTGGATTTTTGGTGTCCTAAAAGGTTTGTGCATGTTGTTTGGTTAGCTGGTAGCCACAGCTAATTTCCTTTGTGTTTTTTTTTTTCTCAGCTCTTCCCCGGAGTGGGTGTGTGAAAGGATTTGAGGGTTCCCTACAGGGAGGAATTCCCAAGTGCTCCTTCCTGGGTCCAAGGTTTTTTTTTATTCATTTGGGTGGTGGCTGCATTTACCAAGCCAAGGTCAGAGAGAAGCTGTAACCTTAGGAGTTTAATTCAAGCCTGGAGTGGCAAGTATTAATTTTTAGAATCCTTGCGGGGCCCCACTTTCTACACTCAGAGTGACAGAGTGGGGATTCAGCCCTCACACATACTATATACAAAATTTATCATAATTTTGTAGAAGAATGAACATAGAGGTACAGACTGACACAGTGTCTGTGTGTGTGTTCCCAGCAGATATGTGGGTATTTCAATCCATCATAAGCAGAGTGTTCGGCATCTTCAAGGACCTGGGGAGCTGGTCCTGGGAATTCACTGGTTTATTAAGTGTGACACTGTATGAAATTGTGAGACACTTTATATTATTATTATTTTTATTATTAATACCAATATGATTACATTGTAATGAATCATGTTAGATATGCCATGCAAGGTGTCAGTGAAAATGTTATGATTTTCCAAGTTTCCAAGTTATGATAATTTTGTTTCTATCTTTGTATTACCTTTGTAATGTGAGTTATGGATATGTAGGTATATCTGTATTTCCAGACTTGTGCAGTGTTTCTGGGTGACACCCCCGGACATATTGGCATCAGCACTGCCTAGCCTGTTTAATGGCCCATCCAGGGTCATCAGCTGTACAATGAGCCCATGGAAAGAACTAAGGGGATACACCTATTGAGTCAACAAGACATGCAGGGGTATGCCTGTGTACTGAGAACTCCAAGGTTTTTCCATGCTATGTGCTGTGAAGCTTGTGTTTGGGACACAGGAAGTACAGGCCACAAGGCAAAGGAAATATAAAGGGCAGCTGCATCATCTGGATTTTCTCTTCAATCCCTCTTCCTACCAGGGCCGCCCAGAGGATTCAGGGGGTCTGGGGTCTTTGGCGGCAGGGGGTCCCCGCCGCCAAAGACCCGGCACTTCGGCGGTGGGTCCTGGAGCGGAAGGACCCCCCGCCGCCAAATTGCAGCCGAAGATCCGGAGCAGAAGAAGCTCCAGGGGCCCGGGCCCTGCGAGAGTTTTCCGGGGCCCCCGGAGCGAGTGAAGGACCCCATTCCAGGGGCCCCGAAAAACTCTCATGGGGGCCTGGGGCAAATTTTCCCGCTTGCCCCCCCAGGCGGCCCTGCTTCCTACCTCGGTTTAACTTCAGTGTTAACCATCAGTTTTTGGAGCATCTGCTCTCCCTTTTTTAGCCTGCCCTGACCTTAGCATTCTCAGTCAGGACTCCCCAAGGCACACCAGGTCACACTAAGTACTGAAGTTAAATTAATAGAATGCTTTTTATGACAAAGTCTTATGCAATCAACTGAACTCCTTTGTTTTCCTTCATCTGAGCAGGGTTTCCAGTTTCCCAACCTGATGTGATCTCCCAGCTGGAACAAGGGGAAGAGTCATGGGTCCCAGACCTGCAGGGTTCAGAGGAAAGACAGACCCTGAGAGCTCCCTTCACAGGTGAGGAAACAATAAACCAACTCAGAATCTGAAAGTGCCTGAAGGAAACATCTGGGATGCCCTACAAAGCCCTTGGGAGTTCTCTCAGTTCATTATTGTTGCCAGCAGAGGTCATATCCTCAGGGTAACTATAGCTCATGGCTTCCCATAGATTCTAGCAGACCACCAGGCAGTAGCTTCCTCCCTTCCCCCTGACAATTTGGATGGGATGTGAAAGCTAAATTGATCCCCTCCTCTCTCCTATTTTGCGGAACAGTATGGGGGAGTTCAGTTCCTGATTTTTTTATTTGACCTCTCTCCAGCACTTGTTTTGTTTTGGCTTTCCTCTTTCCATCCCTGTTTCAGATTTCTGTCTCTATCACAGCAGGTGATATAATGGCATGTGAGAAAGAGGAGCAGAATTCTCAGCAGGAAAATGTTGAGCAAGTGGATAAACACAGAGCATTATTGCAAAGATCAAAAAGGAATGTGTCTAGGAGTCATGAGCAGGAAAAATCCTGTGAGATTCAGCACAGACCAGAAAGAGAGCAAGGAAACCAGGCAGGGGTGAAAGTGGGTAAATGTATTTCCTGTCCGGGAACTCAGAAGGACTTCAAGGAAACCACAACAAAGCAGGAAATCCTCAGGGGAAAGAGAAAAAATACATGCACCGAGTGTGGAAAAAACGTATGTGACTACTCAGCCCTTATAAAGCATCAGAGAATCCACACAGGGAAGAGGCCCTATGAATGTAGTGAGTGTGGGAAAAACTTCACTAGCAACTCCGACCTTTCTAAACATCGGAGAATCCACACAGGGGAGAGGCCCTATGAATGCAGTGAGTGTGGGAAAAAATTCACTCACAGATCAAACCTTTTTCATCATCAGAGAATCCACACAGGGGAGAGGCCCTATAAATGCAGTGAGTGTGGGGAAAGTTTCACTAGAAGCTCAGCCCTTTCTGCACATCAGAGAATCCACACAGGGGAGAGGCCCTACCAATGCTGTGAGTGTGGGAAAAATTTCACTCACAGATCAACCCTTTTACAACATCAGAGAATCCACACAGCGGAGAGGCCCTATAAATGCAGTGAGTGTGGGAAAAGTTTCACTAGAAGCTCAGCCCTTTCTGTACATCAGAGAATCCACACAGGGGAGAGGCCCTATCAATGCTGTGAATGTGGAAAATGTTTCATTAACAACTCACACCTTATTAGGCATCAGAGAATCCACACAAGGGAGAGGCCCTGTGGATGCAGTGAGTGTGAGAAGACCTTCTCTTGGCATTCAGCCCATGTTAGCCATCAGAGACTCTGCAAGGGAGAAGAACACCGTAAAAACCTCTAGGGCTATCAATAATTTTTTTCTTTAATCGATGCTTTTCCTGATTCCCGCATAGTAACTTTTAAAAGCTGGTTGAACTGTTTGCAGCACTGTTATCCCTCAGCTCGTCCTGATGAGTGGCCCATTTATGCCTTTTGTAGTTCGCCCTCTTTTGAGGTGGGCCCATTTGTACTTTCTATCAACTCAATTGTCCCATGAGTAATTCGAGTGTGCCCTTCCTATCAGGAATCAGGGAGTATCACATTTATACCATTCCTCCTATTACAAAGTTATTGTTAGAATCACCAATGATACAGATTGTATCAATGCCAGTTGTTCTCACATTACTCTGGGTTCTGCTGAAGAGCAGTTATATTGGGAACTTTTCATATTATATTTAAATGAAGAGAAGCAGGGGAAAAATAGTCATTTCAGCCTCTGTGACACTGGAAGGTGATGGGATGACGCAGAGATTCCCTCCTTCCCCATCACTGCAGAACTGTTAGCTTGGCTGAGCACTGCAGAGTTTATTTTCATCACATTCTATCCCTCCACTTCTCAAAGTTTCATGTGAGGAAGAGTTCTCAGCTGTCTGTGATTGGAGATGATGCTTTGACTTCTTTAATCCTAAATCAGAGTCGCTATGACTGGAGATGAAAGTGTCAAAGACCTGGAAGGGGAATTTAAATGGATCCCAAACAGTGTGTGATTATTTGGAGTTTAAATCCTAGGTTTCATCTATTGGTAAAGCCATTCTGACAAGGTGGCTGTTTTGTCCCCGATTATGGGGATGCTAGGACACTAAACATTTTGTAAATAACGTAACTGACTATTGAGACAGCGCTGAGTGAAGCAGGTTTGAATGGTTCAGAGGAGAATGTGATGAGAGAATCTCTTGTCCTGATTCTGAATAATCAGATGTAACCTACTGTGGAATTTCACTTGACACTTTCATTGTCATGTATTCTATCTCTCTCTGATGTGGGTTTCTCTCTTTCCTGAAGGCTGTTTGGTCGCCCAATTGGATATTAGTTCAGTTTGATAGGATGTAGCTCAGATTTATTGGAGAATTTAAGACAAATGACCATTTGCTAAAGTCCTCATTTCTCACTTCAGCTTTCCTTTATTTCCCCATCCCTCCATGATGACATGGAAAAAGTGCAGTTCTTTCAACATTAGAGAACACTCCAATTTACCGGACAAAAAAAAAGTGATGTCCACTCAGAAATGGTGAACGACAGCAGTACCCCAACTAACTGAAGGAAGTGCATATGATCACAGTGTAGTTCAATTATTTAAATCAGTATTTTCTAAGATGATCTGGAAAGAGAATTCCACGGTAAGTGATTTGAACTTGGCAAAATGCCCATGTATTTGCTTCCTGAAGCATTTTTGTAACCCAGGCCCTACAGAAGATCTCTCCTAGCTAATCCTATGGTATGTGGAATGCTCCCCTTCATGATGCAGATGTTGAGGAAATAGAAGTGGGGTTTTTTTGTTTGTTTGTAGGTGCTAAAAATTTGTATAAAATGAAATCCGTGTCGGAAATCTAATAGCTGCAGAAAAATAGCTATTTTTAAATAGAAATTCTATCTCTAGTGGCTAACAGAGTTTCTGATTCAGCCCTGTATCCAGTCCTTTGCCTGGAACTGTGTCACCAAAGTAAAGAAAAGCTGGGCATGTTTCGGGAAGGCATTGCGTACTAACACTGCTGATATTTTGAGTGGTTTTTGTAAAGGATTCTACTTCAGAGAAGTGTAAATTTACCCTAAAAAGGGCAAAGATTTGGGGTTGAAAGAGTACACTCAGTTCTTGGTTTCCAACCCAGTAAAGGAAGCTATGGTGACCAATGACCCAAGGACAATGTTTTGTACAACTCCACTTCCTAGTTCAGTGTCACTGATTACAGTTTCAAAAGATTCCAGATTTGGACTGAGAACAATCATGCTTCACTGTTTGGATCCGAAGAGAGAGTGCTTCGTATCACAGTCCTGTCCTGTGGATCCCAAACTGGCTGCCTGATTGGTTAGCAAGGACTTTTAGGCTGTAGAAATGATGGTAACCAATGAGGCAACAAATGTATCAGGCTCCAATTTCAGACTTCCAGATCCACACATGTTGAGTCCTGATTCTATGGTTTTGTGTCTGATGCTATGCCTGCACAATAAAGCTGATGTTGGCACAGCTGCAGTGCTGCTACTACAGACTCTCTAAGCCAATGAGAGAGAGCTCTCCCATCAGACTTTTAGTGCAGCCCCCACAAGTGGTGTTGGTTATGTTGGCAGGAGAAGTTCTCATGCTTATGTAGTGCTATCTACACAGGGGATTAGGGCTGTGTAACTACGTATGGATTTTTCACACCCGTGAGCAGTATAGTTCTACTGATAAATGTCTTTAGTGTAGACCATAGAATCATAGAATATCAGAGTTGGAAGGGACCTCAAGAGGTCATCTAGTCCAACCC